AGACAAGGTAAAGGGCTGAAACTTTGTAAGGATAATTAAATTTACGCCTAAAATGTTTAAGCGCTGATAATACGAGTAAGAAAGACGATTCCTTGTGCACGTGCTAGCTAAATATTTCGAATTCAGCCCTCAGCTATGCGTGGCATTCACGCAAAGGCGAATGAAAGTTTTGGCGGGAAAATGGCTAACTCGAGAAATGGGAAAGCTAGAAAGCTGAAATTTTGGGGGGTGTTCCTTGTTCAAGTACAATTCAAATATTTCAAATTCAGCCCCAGCTATGCGTGGTATTCACGTAAGGGCGTATGAAAGTTTCTGCAGGAAAATTACTAACTCGGGAACCAGAAAAGCTAGAAACTGAAATTTCAGGGTAATGTTTCCTAAAATTTCAGCTCTCTAGCTTTTCTGGGTTAGGGTTTAAGGTAGTGTTTAGTGTTTAGGCTAATGTTCCAAGTACAACTTAAGTGTATCAAATTCAGCCTTGAGGTATGCGTCACTCTTAAGTACGGGCACTTAAAAGTTTTTATGGGAAAATTGCTCAATTAAGAGCTAGGTTACTTTCAGAGAACGGCCGTTAAATGGAACTGTACATTTACTTTATGCAAAATTTATGGCGATTTACGCCAGTGAGCGCAACAGGTGGTTGTAAAGCAGCAACCATTTACGGAGATAAGACCTGATCACTTCAAGTCCGGTGCAAAAACGCATGATCGCACTGACAAGCCTTGTGCGTTTCAGCCTGGGTTTTTATTGATTATATCGAAGATAAGGTATCGCGGCCAGGATTTTTAACAACACGCTTAGTTTGGGAAATGCAGATAGAAAAGGACTTTTATAACGTTTGAAAGAGCATCTTGAAATTACGTGTTATCAACCAGTAATGACACTTCGACAACGCAGATATGCGAGAACATCCCTGTTCAGCTGTAATTCATCGTCTGGCGCTCTAATCGGGCAGCTGGCAACTTTTCTAATTGTTTTTGCTAATTTTGCATGAGTTGGTGATCAGTTTACTGACGAAATTGACGCTCATTTTACCTTGCAAGAGTTAATTGCTCAATCAATTTCTAAATTTTTAGCCGTGTCCGAGATGTCTGTGATATGTATTGGGTGTTATTATCTCGTCCAGAGCTGTGCTATTTCCTGGACAGAGAAGAGGGTCTCTATCACTTATAAGTTAATAACAGCATTAATACTATGATAAACGAGAATGATGTTGATATTTTTTTACATGATTAGAACTCTGCCGAATGTTCTTAGCAAGGAATTGGACAGACGCATACCTGTTTCTGATGAAAGTTCTTGAGAAAATAGCCTGGTGAAACAGGACTTTCCGCTGCAGACATCATTATCGGTTTGGATGATCGTTCAGAAGATCTGATTTCGGTGACTCTACCGTGCCACGTCGCATCAAGCAGTACTGTAAGATGGATTTGGAATTAATTTTGTTTTTCAGGTTGCCCCGGATGTGGCGTCAGCGTAAGCTGCGCCGGCGGAAGCTGTCCACCACCACCAAGCTGCCCTAGCACAAGCTGCGGTCCAGTCATCGTACCACCGCCACCACCTCCGCCACCAATACCACCGATTGTTTTCCCAGCCCCGCCGCCGATCGTCCTCCCGCCTGTACCTCCACTGCCTCCAGTCCCGCCAATTTTCATCCCGGCACCGCCAGCTCCGGTTGTAATGCCGCCACCACCACCTCCCCCGCCACCACCAACACAAGTGCATCTCCCACCTCCACCACCGCCTCCTCCGCCACCGCCGAACGTCGTTATCTCACAACCACCGCCACCACCACCTCCACCACCACCACCGCGTCCGCGATGTACACCCGGTCTGCTAATAACCGGCAGCTGCGGTGTTCGCGGTGGCTGCCCAGGCGGCGTATGCGGCTGTGCTGGAGGAAGCTGCTAGATAAGGCAGTTGCAGCGAGTACTTATCAACATTGTATTATTTTACACTAGAGATTTTAATAAAAAGTTTTTTGGCTTCATGTTTGGCATAAACCAAACAATCACGTCAGCGATGGC